AATTCAACACGCGCCGCGCGACGACCACCGCCCTTTAATCAGTCAGTTACAGAAGTTTGTTTTATTTGCAACAATGTCACAGTATTTTGATTTAATCAGGCAATAAAAAACCATATAAAACGAGGGATGGGACAACTGGAGAAAAAGATCGTCTAGTGGCAGCACAGCCACTCGTGTTTGATGAACACACATACAACATACGTAAAATGAACGAATTGCCATTCCACCTGATACGAAGCAACCAACAAGACAAGCTAGAAACTCAGGTTTTGTGTAATTTCACCTGGCTACTGACAAAGATGACAGCAACATCCGTCAGGTTAGTTTTCTGTTGGAATAATGATCATCATTTATAATCCAACATGGCCGTTTACCAGTATGTGTACGTAACATTTCATACTCCATCTCTTGCAGACGGGTTATTGACGATTTTAAATTCGCCCGCTCGATTTATCCAGGAAACGAGAAAATCAACACAGTTGCAGAATTGTTACAACTAGCGCATCATGCATTGGAGAAAAACCCCGACCAGCTCGCGTCTCAGATTGTGGGCAGGATATCGTCGGTGAGAATATAATTTTCATTATCTGCATGTAGTGTGATATTCTATCCATTGACTATATGTATTGCATATGGTGTACCAATCATCTATTTGAATCAAACGAGATTGCGGAGAAAATAATAATAATAATCTCCTAACTGTTCATCAATTGTTTTGTTTTTCAAGTTTGATGGCTTGGAGGATTTGCTTAACAACGCTCGTAATCCACATAAACCGTGCCTTTTACCGACGACAGCATTCTTGACACGACCCGGAGGAATGTTGGTTCACTCGTTAGCTGGCCATACTCATCGAATATATGCGCTTGACATAGCTGAAAGCGGTAAATATGCATTGACGGGTAAGTGGATTCTGTAGGAGTGTTACTAGTATACAACTGCGGAGTTGCAGTAGTATTGTCGTGGTATTGTGTGTCCATTATGCCATACAAGTTACTGTCTCGTTCGCAATCAATGACTTAGGGTATTACATGGTAATTTTGCTCGAGTACTATAGTAATGTCATCGAGAATCTGCTGTCTCATTTGCAGCCAATGACATATGGGTTGCAGTACCACGTGGTAATGCTTGTCGGAGTACGTCATACACACTTCTGTCTCATTTGCAGCCAATGACTTAGGGGTTGCAGTATCACGTGGTAATGTTGGTCTGAGTACGTCATACACACTTCTGTCTCATTTGCAGCCAATGACTTAGGGGTTGCAGTATCACATGGTAATGTTTGTCCGAGTACGTTATACACACTTCTGTCTCATTTGCAGCCAATGACTTAGGGGTTACAGTATCACGTGGTATTGTTTGTCCGAGTACGTTATACACACTTCTGTCTCATTTGCAGCCAATGACTTAGGGGTTACAGTATCACGTGGTAATGTTGGTCTGAGTACGTCATACACACTTCTGTCTCATTTGCAGCCAATGACTTAGGGGTTGCAGTATCACGTGGTAATGTTTGTCCGAGTACGTCATACACACTTCTGTCTCGTTTGCAGCCAATGACTTAGGGGTTGAAGTATCACGTGGTAATGTTTGTCCGGGTACCTCATACACACTTCTGTCTCGTTTGCAGCCAATTGCAAAGTCTTGGGGTTGCAGTATCACGTGGCATTGTTTGTCCGGGTACCTCATACACACTTCTGTCTCATTTGCAGCCAATGACTTAGGGGTTGCAGTATCACGTGGTACTGTTTGTCCGAGTACGTCATACACACTTCTGTCTCATTTGCAGCCAATGACTTAGGGGTTGAAGTATTACGTGGTAATGTTTGTCCGGGTATCTCATACACACTTCTGTCTCGTTTGCAGCCAATGACTTAGGGGTTGCAGTATCACGTGGTAATGTTTGTCCGGGTACCTCATACACACTTCTGTCTCATTTGCAGCCAATGACTTTGGGGTTGCAGTATCACGTGGTAATGTTTATCCGAGTACCTCATACACACTTCTGTCTCATTTGCAGCCAATGACTTAAGGGTTGCAGTATCACGTGGTAATGTTTGTCCGAGTACGTCATACACACTTCTGTCTCATTTGCAGCCAATGACTTAGGCGTTGCAGTATCACGTGGTAATGTTTGTCCGATTACGTCATACACACTTCTGTCTCATTTGCAGCCAATGACTTAGGGGTTGCAGTATCACGTGGTAATGTTTGTCCGAGTACGTCATACACACTTCTGTCTCATTTGCAGCCAATGACTTAGGGGTTGCAGTATCACGTGGTAATATTTGTCCGAGTACGTCACACACACTTCTGTCTCATTTGCAGCCAATGACTTAGGGGTTGCAGTATCACGTGGTAATGTTTGTCCAGGTACCTCATACAATCTGTTGCCTTGTTCAAAGCCAGTCGTTTAATATTCACCAAAATCTTCCATCAAACATATACTTATTACCCCACAACATGACAGGCAAATGTTCGATTTAAAACAGCGGAAATACTGAAAAAGGTTGATGTATTTATTTGGTTGTATGCGTGAGATGGTGACCACTGCGAACGAGCCTACAAGTGGCTGACGTCGACGTAGTGGGACGGTATATCGTGTGTAACAGAGACCCGCGTGTGTGTACACGTTGACTGTAAATCACACCTAATGTAGTAATGGTGTAACATGTATCTCGTATTCAGGATCATTCGACGCGACTGTGAAGCTGTGGGACATCGAGGAAGGCGTATTGTTAAAGAACATGGAAAACGTTGGCGAAACTATACAGACGATACGATTTTGCAAACACGACGACATGTTCGTGTTATCAGCGTTAGATTTCGGCCAAAGTTACGTCAAGGTGTTTAAGACAGAAACAATGACATTGTTGAAATCTTTTGAAACAACATCGGGCTACCCAACTGCCTTTGCCATTGCCAAGGGTGGAAGTCATCTCATCATTCCAGAACAATGCGAATTGGAGGTGATCGACTTGAACACGTTGACGATTAGTCAAAAGATTGTCGACGAATTCTTGAATGCAATGGGGGCCTCTGCAACAGTTGAAGCTCGTGGTGACATTGTGGCTTATTTCTTAACGCAAGATTTCGATCGAAAACATGTCCGTGTCGCTGATTTATCGAAACCGGATTTACCCAAGACAACAGTGGAGGTGATCTTTGAAGAAAAGTATGACAAAAGATACAGCGCCACTATCGGTGGCATCGCGTTGATTCCAAACAAACTGGTTGTTTGTAATCAGACTAGATCAATTTTTCATATTTACTCTAATTACGGAGAGACGCTGACCAAAGTAATAGTAGACCTAGACGGGATAACGGGAGCGCACGGTGCAGCGGCTAGTTTCTGCACAACGTTCGATGGACGATACATTCTTGTAACCCGTTTTGATAAAGTTGTTGTCTGGGACCTCGAGAAAGAGACCAAAGCTGTTATGCTGGAGCATCCTTACTTTATTTACCGTATTGCAAGCAGAGACATGTCCCGAGTTGTCAGCACATCCCCGGATAAGCTGGTACGTGTTTGGGATATCACCCGCGGGAAAATGGCTGTTCACGTCACCCACCAGGAACCGCGATGCATGGGTGAAGCACCGGAGGAAATCAGGCAACTTCTATGTCCAGCAGGATACGACCAGCTAGTTACTATGTCGGTAGGCAGTATGGTAAACGGCCGAAGTATTGTAACGTTATGGGACTTGGGCACATCGCGTCCGTTATCCAAACTCAAAGCGGTTTCTAGCAAGCCCGTATTTTGGAAAATGTTAAATGCATCGACAGCTATTGCCAGTGTTGATAAGACTCTGAAACTCGTGAACGTCTTGAAAGGATGCATTATTTTAACATTTCAGGGGAAAATACCAAATCACACAACTTGGTTAGCCGTAATCGAAGATAATCGCAAGTTAATGACACTATCAGAAGATCAGACACTGGTAAACATATATGACATGTCCGATGGTACAATCTGTGATGTGTTGACACATGCTAATAGTGCTGTCATCTCTGATTTCCGTGTCAATGACAATGGCGATGGTAATATCCTAGTAACTCAGCTCAGAAGCCAATACGATTGTGTTCATATATGGGACCTGGAAACGAGGCAGATACGTCACTCGATTAGAATAGATAATAAGTTGGGCAAAGTTGCTCTGGATAACTCCGCAATTTCATCGGATGGCATGTACCTGTCACTTATTACCTACGGGAAATCTAGGAAGAAAGGACTGTTGGTATGGAACTTGAAAACGGGTACGTCTCATGATATCAGATTATTGTTTTCTGGTTTGTCGTTGTTTACTCTAGTTTTATCAATGATGAAATGAGAAATACACAACACGCATGCGTAATAATGTTTTTTTTTTCTTTTGTAATTGAGCGAATGCTATTTCCTATTTCGTGAAATTGTGAAATCTTTTTTTTGTGGAAAAACCTAACAATAAAAGCGGGAGGGTAGTCACCTGCGCACGCGCGGGAATTGAATCCCAAGCGACGATAACAACACCGCTGAAAATGCAAAGGCTCATGGGTAGACGCTTGTTTGTAAACAATGACACGCTTTAAAGACGAACCATATTTTTTCATATTCTCGATATTTTTGCATTTCATTTGACTTGAATTATGACTGAAAGCACCTGGATGAAATCACAAAAGATGTAGCGTGCTCACGCATGAACAATAACTTTTTTAAATATGAAACTGAATTACTGTACTTTCCTCCATAAAAACGAAAGAATTTCACAATGTCGAAAACAATTTCTAAACAGCAATCATATTCTCGATCATAATATTACACCAGTGAGGAATAGAAATAACTATGTACGATGTACTTTCTCATTGCACATGCGATTTAAAGGATATTAGTTTTCAGCAAAAATATTAAAATGTAAAATGGTTAAAATTAGTCTTTCTGATTCAAACTTTTCAAATTAATGCGGTCCGTTACTAAAAAATAATATTCCATCTTACAGCATCGGTAATATATATAATATCTCAAATACGAAATATCGTGGACAAAAAAGGGTCTCGCATACATATCATGGACATAAAGGGTCTCGCATACATATCATGGACATAGAGGGTCGCGCATAAATACCATGGACATAGAGGGTCTCGCATAAATATCACGGACATAGAGGATCGCATATTGTTATATTCATCACATTATTTACTAGCAATTTACTAATATTTAATAAGACGTAATTCACTACTTGCAGGTAAACAAGTTTATCACCATCGAAAAGATGATACGTCTGTTCTGGACATTGTTGCTGTCGAAAACGGAAAATTAGTTGTGCAATACAGTGATAAAAGTATCTGTTTACTCAACTTATCCACAGGTATGTGTCCGTCCACAGTAGAAAAAAGTCCAGCCCTTCCGATATTACATTCGAGTAACCTTTATCGATGTTCAAGGGCAAGCATGCATCTTTAGTTTGGAATAATTGTGTCCTACTTGCAGGTTCACTAGTGACAGAACTTCGTGGTCACTACGAGTTCATCAGTCAGTTTGAAGTGACCAAAGACAACAGGCGAATTATGGCTTTCTCAGACCGAGAGCGCAAACTTGCTGTATGGTCCTGTGACGACGGCACTTGTTTGGGAAGTTTCACATTAGAAAAGGTATTATAATAGTTTGTATATGTTTTGTTTTTTTAAATAGTTAAAGGGCGGTAATCGCCGCGCCACGCATGCGCGAGATATATGGGTCTCATATAAACAAAGATGGCGACTTTGACTATTGAGCAGATCAACGAGTACAACTTGAACTGAGACGTTACCAAGCTTTAATTAAGTATTTTTTAGGTGTTTGGAAGGTATCCAAGGAGTCGCCGGCGGTTATTAGTGCAAGTCGCACCCAGGTCAAACCTCATACTTGTGATTCCCATTAGAAGAGCACATTGAGTTGTGGGTAAATCAATGTTTATCAACACAAATGTCGCAACAAGCGCAGCGCGACGACTGCCAACCTTTAATTTGCACTACCGAATACATTTTAGATTTCATATGGAGTGTGTTTTTTGGATGTATTTGTACTGATGACTGACAGTTGCTTTGATGTTATAATCGACAACATTAAAAATAAAATAATCGTTAAAATTAGATTAAACTGTACCCCCAGAATGTACCAGAGTGTTGACCTTTAGAGGTCATGCATAAGGTGCATTCGGTGTTACAGTGTGGCCTCCAGTTAATTACAATTACTTCTTATCATAGAAATCAAAAGTCCAACTCGCCTGTGAAGGGCAGATTATTGTGGTTCTAGACGTCTATGGTCTTACTCCGCCCATACTACTTCGAGTTCATGGACAGGGATATACGCCGTTTCCTTTACCGGATGAAAACACAGATGCCGGTGAGTTAGAATACAAGTCATTAATATCAACCGGAGCATTTATCGTGTGGTATTTTTGTTCACCTTAAATCATTAACTTTCAGTCAAATCCTTATACTAAACGCTGTACGCGCTTACCAACTTTGAGAACTCTGACGTCAACGCAGAGATGGGCACCTTTACAATGACGTCATTACTAGTTGCATTGAGGTATATATGTGTAGGTATAACGAAAGTTCTAGCGGGAGTTCTAAATCGTCTTCTGCTTAACGCATCATAGATACACCGTCTAGAACGGGAAAAGGCATATAAAACCATTCCAAATACACTGGTATCGACTGCGTTTCTTGGACATACGCTACATATATCAACAAAATGAATCATGACAAAAAGACCATAAGAGGGCGTGGTTTCGATTGCGTATGGGTGCGATGACATGCTATTACATGTATGTAATTCACTTCATAGCATTATGGTTTACAATAATATGTCAATGTTTTTTTTGTATAGATAACGAAGAAGTAGACGTTACAATGACGCTCCAAGAAAAAGTAACTGTGTTAAAACTATGGGAAGAGTGCGCTGAATGAAATGTCGAATTTCATTAGTGGTCAATACATGGGAAAAAACAACAACTCGCGCTTACTGGGAGTTTAACCTAGATATTTGTAATTATAGAAGTGTATGTATGTTGAGGGATATTTTTATAAGAGTAATAAAAAAGTACAAAGACGCACTTTTGATCCCAAATGACGGAAAGTATAAACCAAATTCTTTATCCGGTCTACGGTATGAATATGCTGCCATTTTGTGGCGTTGGGTTGGAAACTTTCTTGTAATAAACCACTGTTTCCAAACACGTTT